ATCGTTTTTAGCTCCATGCTCTTGATGTATGTTTCTGGAATAGGTGCTTTATTAATCACTGCTTGTCTTTATGAAAATCTTGGCATTCACAGCAAATATTGATGCATTACTCAAGTGACCGAAGCCGAAGTAAAATGTATAGTCCATTATTGCAGTAATAGTCCTCAGGGATAATGCAGCGCTGATGCCATAAATAACAGGAGATTGTTATTGTTCTGTGTCATCATAGCAATGCTGAAGTTCTTTTGCTATAGCTGTGTTTATTGTCATTTATCTCTCTTGCTATCTTGCAATTACTATGTTGTGATTGTAATAAAATGAGAAACAGAAAATCCTCCAAAGTACATGCCATGCTATTCTTTAGCTTTTACTGGGAAGAAAATGAAGCCAGGAGGTATTAAAACAGTTGTATTTTTTCATGTTGTCCAGTGGTGAAAATTTTTTTCTGGCTCTATTGTGTGATAAACTCTAGGAAAGTTTTGTTGTGCTCTCATCATTTATAATTGGAAGCACCATCTTCTCCCACTTGTGAATGCAAAATATCTCTATGGCATCTGCAGTAACAGCTCATACAAAGGAGTAATACTAGGGAAGCATCTTCGAAAGCCTGCCCTCCTCCCCTGCTGCAAGAGAATGCACTAAGTCTCTTGCCAGGACACCTTCCATAGCAGAGGCAGGTGCAGCAGTTAAAGGGTCAGCTAGATTATACATGTTGGCTACGTCTAGACTACATCCCTTTTTCGTAAAAGGGATGTAAATTAGACGTATCACAATTACTAATGAAGATTTAAATCCCTGCCTCATTAGCAATTGTGATACGTCTAATTTACATCCCTTTTACGAAAAAGGGATGTAGTCTAGACGTAGCCTTTGTGTCTAATTGATCATTACTGTGCCCTTGCCACCAGGATGCAATAATGAACATTCCCTAGAAGAGAATGCTTATGAATTTATGAAATCATCACTAGTGAAGTGAGCTCTGATTTTCTCCCACTAAACTGCTTAAACTCTACCAACTAGATAGTACGGCTGTGTCTAGACTGGCAAGTTTTTCCGCAAAAGCCAGCTGTCTACACTGGCCACTTGATTTTGCGCAAAAGCACTGACTTTCTACTGTCTGAAGTCAGTGCTTCTTGCGCAAATACTATGCTGCTCCCGTTCGGGCAAAAGCTCTTTTCCGGAAATGCTTTTGCGCAAAAGGGCCAGTGTAGACAGCTGAAAACTGTTTTGTGCAAAAAAGCCCTGATGGCGAAAATGGCGATTGGGGCTTTCCTGCGCAAAACCGCATCTAGATTGGCACAGACGCTTTTCCGCAAAAAGTGCTTTTGCGCAAAAGCGTCCTTGCCAATCTAGATGCTCTTTTCCGCAACTGCTTTTAATGGAAAAACTTTTCCGTTAAAAGCATTTGCGGAAAATCATGCCAATCTAGACATAGCCTACATGTTCAAGCGTGGAGCAATAACTATGACTTT